TTATTGCACAACAAAATCATGTAAATATATTATGTAAATAACCCAATTTGTGTTCTGTGAAACTAAAAAGGATATAATATATTATTTTGAAGGACAGTTGACAGGAAGTTGTTGTTGTTATGGAAACAACATTACGGAGAAAACGTAATATTTTCTACATATAACGACGGATAAAGTAAAGAACAAAGTCTGAAAATATCAGTACAGTATCATAGTACTGTAACATAATTGTTTTTGGTACTTTTTTGGTACTCATTGCAGTTGTATGTCTTACATGTAATGTAAATGTTGCATTCGTGTGTGGTTCGGGGCCATCATCGTGCGAAATTCACAATTCCATATTCGTGTGTCCATCGGGTGTCAATTTCGGGACAGTGTGACATGGCCTTAAGCGGAATATGAATGGGTTCTCCATACATCATTTTGAGTATGGAGATGGGATTCAGCAATACACTGAATTGAATAGTCAAGAACAGTAGAGACAAAGAGATTGAAAACAAGATTGACGCTGCGTTCACTCCCAGAGTTACAACGCACCCTGGGAGGTTTCATTAAACTAATGCAATATAACAGTCGATCTCGATGAGATCATTAAACAAAACAAAGGGCGACTATCCAGACAGTCTTCAACAGGGATAAGTTATGCTTCCTTTATTTGGGAAAGAGAATCACATTGCTATGCAGAAAAGGTTATATTAGCTGGTAAAAATCAATCGATGTTAATTAGGAGAGAAAAGGACACATACTTTAACATATATGTCAAAATAATGTTTTGGAAAGAGCAGGGTTGCAGCTTTAGGTCTTTATCTATGAAAATATCTTTTAATAAAGTCATAAAATTGCTTCTTAGATTAGATCAGGGAGAAATATGTTAATGTCCTGTTGGCAGCGAAATGACAATGATAAATGTCTTGTTATAATCTTTATATTTATTTTTTAATTATCCAGCGATATTATACAGTTATAGTAGCTAATATGTGAAAGCATCTATGCAGAAAGAACCTCATAATAGAATGCAAAATATGTTCAATGTTCTGTTTAGTTGTGACTTAATGTTACCATTGAACTTGGTTATATTGTCCTGTACACAAAACATGAACCCATGGTCAAAATGGAGAAGCAAATACAGCTTAAATATAAATTAAATACTACAATTATTTTACATTTATTAAAACATTCATCAATAATCTACCACCACACTATGACAATAATGCCAAACACAGAGTACACTAAACAATCCCTAGCCCTCTCCAAAGCTAGCTTGAAACAAATGCTACTGTTAGCTGGATTAGCCTCTTGCTTTAGCAGTTAATGCCTTTAAAAAACACAACTTCCCATACACCCTAGATCAGGGGTCGGCAATTAAGTTTAGCCTTGGGCCAATTTTTTTCTGAGCCACTAGATGGTGAGCTGGAACATAATCAAAGGCTTATTGATTGATTATTGATATGTAATTGATTGTTAAAACATGTGACACGTTCGAATGCTTGGGGGGAAGGCGTTGCGGTGCTGTTCTGTGATTCTACAGATTCTACAGATGGCCAGTCCGCTACTGCTCACAAGCTTATTAAGATCCAAAGCTTTAGTGCGTTTTGAATTAACTTTTCTTTCAAAACAAAGCTGCCAACTGGGGTGGCAGCTTATGCACCACCACCCCTCGCCCTCCATGATCAAGCGGCTTTCTCTCTCTCTCTTTTTTGTCAATGTTTTGACTGAACTTTGTTACTGTTCACATACGTTTGAATGATTTAGTGAGCTGGTGTGATTTTGTTCACACCACAAACCGCATATTGACTATGTCAGCACCACGCGCTGTCCAGCTACTTATTGATCCACTATCGGCGTCAGTGCACCCGCTGCCAGATTGTGCCTGTGCTGTGTGTCTCAACATGGATAAAAGTACAATAAGCATTCTTCAGGTGTAGGTAGATTCTCTATTCGGACATTATAGCCTATATGTGTGACTGTCGGTCCGATATTTAAAAAAGAAAAAGAAAAAATAATCTATTTTTTTTATTTGTTTAATTCTCAAAATAATTTGCCGGGCCAAATATTATTGCTGGCAGGCCACCAATGGCCCGCGGGCCGCCTATTGCCGACCCATGCCCTAGTTGTTCGATGGATGAGTGTCTTGCTGGACAGAAGATGTGAGTATTAGTATGTTCAAGGGTGATGGCTAACTCAGAAATGTTAGCAGGACAGGGACAAAGAAACTCTAGAGCCTTTAGAAATCAAAAGAAATGAACAACAGAGCATTGGTGAGAGCTAGTTGGAGCTTGTTTCTCTTTGCTCACAAAGTAATTGTAGTCGAGCTCAGCGTGTATTGCTCATTGTATCCAGGCTACGGAGCGAAAACATATTTAACATCTGTCCAACAATGAACACTTCCCATCCACTTAGGCAGAAAGGCAAACAGAGAGACGGAGCGATTGCAGAACGGTTGGAGACAAACAGAGACGGTAAGTAGGGAGAGAAAAACTTTAGTCTGGCTGTTCGCCCGGCTGGCTCGCACCCAGAAACACTCCATCACTGATCACAACTCAGATGAAAAGGAAAACAAAAGATTAGATGGAGTCTAAAAGCGAGAGGATAAATGAGCTAAGTAAGCCGATTGTTAAACATCCTCGGGGTGAGTGTATGAGTGTGAGGGCTTTGTGTCTTTCTGTATCTACGCTGACCTTGAGTTTCAGCCCCTAGAAACACCTCTCGTTGTAATTCTCTCCTCTATGTCCCTGTGTCTTCAGGGAGCCGCTGAAGACTTGTTACAATAAATAATACAAGTTTAATTTCTCCTTGTCCATGGCTCTCAAGGTGTTCCTCTGGGCTACTGTTAGCTTAGCGATTAGGTTACATTTTCACTCCTCACAAAGGTAGAACACCACAGAGTGTGTTTATGTCCCTGTGTGAGGCTGTGATGATAGCTTGAGAGGAACAGACAACCTGCCATGCTTTATGATTGTGTTGGGTCTGACTGCAGGGCGCAAAGCAGGCACACACAAACCCAAACACACACACATCTAACGTCATCATATACGTGGGAGAATCTGGTGTCGTAATGTGGCTATTTCTGGGGAAGCGGGGTCATAAAAGGCATTTTTATTTGCTGAATTTATAACTCTGCAACATACTGTACAGAATGCTTGTGAAAATTGGCTTATTGGGAAATTTGCTACATTTTGGAATAAAATATACATACAGAATATTTGTTTTATATAAACACAAGAAGTAAGAATGTGCAAAAAAAGATAAAATTACAAATAAATCAAATTAATTATTTTATATACATATAAGAAATTAAGGTTAAATGTCAAATAAGCCAAACAATAAAATTAATTATATTAACATGAGGAAAAGTACAAATAAATTATATTATATACTGTACTGTACTTTAGAATATATAATAATGCTGAATAGTACAGGGTTGTAGGAGGGTTATTAAAAATATCTGGTCTATTAAAATAAAACTCTAATTTTGTATAAATTGTTTTTAATTAACAATAAAATCTGTGTAAGGTTAAACCCAGTATATAACCCTGTTAAGAAATATGCGTTTCTATAGTACCTGGTGTTGTGGAAATAATTATCATAAGACGCCAATTAGTAACATACAGGACAAACCTCGATGTCTGTTTACCTTCTTTAAGGACACAGGCGGCTTAGCCAATAATGTTATTGTTCCCATTCTGTGACCGGTCAATACTGGGATACAGATGGTCTGTGTTGTGGGTACACTGGGACACTTCCTTCTCTGTATTTGTGGACTCCAAGGTAAAATCTTCGAGGTCATAAGTGTCCGAGGCAAGTAGCTCTGTGTTCCCACACTGTTTAGGCTATCTTCTCAAATATGTTGTTTACTCTCTGCGAAACCAGTTAGATGGGCTGGCAAGAGAGAGGCTCTCCAGAATTGACGTGGCAACTCTACCGTGAAGTCAGAACCTCTGACTCTTGGACTTGTGATGTGAATCCTCCGGCCGTTAACTCCAAATAAACCATCATGTGTTTGACATCAAAGCTACTGCTCTTCCCGTGTCTCCTTCCTGAGTCGGTGACTCCCACTGCATAGCTACACAGAAGTTTCCTCTACACCTGGCAACCTCAACCTGACAAACAGCCTGGCCGCCTGCCTAATGCATGCTGGTTAATAATCGTGTTCATTGTTATGACACCATTGTCTAGGGCAGTGATCCTCTTTCGCTGCAGATTCATGGTCACTTCTGTCACAGGGCTTTTAGGGAAATGACAAGCTATGTGCAAGTTCTCACCAGCCACTGGCACATATACCTCTGGAAGTGAGATTAAAGCAAACAATAAGTCGTGGATCATCGGCCAATTTACCGTTAAGGAGAGTGATTAAGAACATTTTCTCTGTTGGTTTTCTTTTTACAGCACTCAGTGCAGAAGGCTTACAATAAATAGCACATTGATCATAAGGGGGAAATGCATTCAAATATACCTGGACTCCTTTCTGGATCAGATTCAGAGCTGAATCCTCTTTACACCAACCAGGCCAGACCCTCGCAACAACAAAATAATAACTGAAACAATTATAAATAAGCGCAAAACCTGTTTTTCTCTCCTCTTCTTGACACTTTCCTCTGCATTTTTCCTTATTTCTTTGTCTTTTTATGTTTCAATTATGTGTATTATTATTTAAGTGTGTTGTAACAACTTTTGTTATCCACATAAATGAAAACATAAAATATATATATAAACAAAAGGGGGATATTCAAATACCTCAGGGCGTATTGGATAGGGGGAACATATAAATATAATATGATGTAACATTTGCATGGGAAATGTGCTGGGAAAATATAACAATAACATATTGTCAGTTTTGGGACAGGAAGTACTGTGCAGCAGATTATTATGCAAAATTGCTCACAAAAAACAATATGAAAAACAGAAGCATTTGCATATGTTTACTATATATGAGTTTGAACAAACCATGTGTGCTTTCACCAACAACAAAAAAATGTCTTTGCAAATGTACATGGACCTACTTGGTACTCTGTTGATGGCCCGCAGTGGCCTGAGCACTCGGACAGTACGGATGGCTGACAGACTGGCGTTATGGCCGTCCAGAGAATACTCCATCACCCTGAAGTGAGAAAAGCAGGAAGAAAGAGTTTTACTTCAGGTTCTGTACTCACCTACACACGGATATAGTGACACAAAGCAACAACACTGAAACCATACAAATAATAATGCTTATATTGGCAGCTACCCACATAATTACTGTACATTTGGCATTTAATTATACAGTCAAAAGCGTTTTTCCCTCTATATAGTCTTACATCACAGCACCCAAACATCAGAAATGTGACAGCTATAGGCAGAGAGCCAGTTATGGTCTTAATTGTGTGTGTTTCCTGTGCTCTGCCCTGTGGGTGCTGTGTAAGGAGTGTGTGAGTGTGATTGTGATTCTGTGAATGTGTGTGGTCAGGCTCGGGCCTCGGAGCGTGGGAGTATTTAAAGGAATGTCTGCTGCTGATTGGGTCCTGCCCTCGTCTGTCTGGGAGTGCAGAATGTACATTAAGGGGGTGTTTAAGGTTTCTCTGATTGATAACTCTTATCTTTAAAGTAGATTTATGCTTCCACCTTGATTGTATGCTGCGATCGGTGGATGGTAAGACTGCAGCGTTTTATCATGGTGACGCCTGACCTGGATATGTACGTTGAAATTATTGCTTTTTTACGTCAAAATGGTATGAAAACATTTTGAAATCTGAGAGAGAATTACCACCTTGCAGTGTCACGCCTTCACCAACCAGATACAGTTTCAATGTAACCATTAGACATCATTAGATGAGTTCATTTGTATTATAAGCATAAAATATGTTGTGAGGTCACAAAGAACTTTACATTTAACCACCGGTTTATAATTTGTTTAACAATGAGTGCAAGTGGATGTCTGTACGAGATTTAAGGATATCTTGTCCAGCATTTATCAAATTAAATTAAATGTTTTTCAGATAGTCCAACATCACAAAATACATTTGTCTCAGGGGGATTAACAGATCAACAAACATGAATGACGAATTAAAATTACAAGAATATAATAAAATGACCAGATAAAGCGTAAAACACAAACAAATAGAGTAAAATAAAATACCATAACATATAGGACCAAGGAGGATGTTCTAGGAAAGCCGGAAACCAGCCCTAACTTTAGGCTTTAGTAAAAGGAAGGTCTTTAGCTTACTCTTTAATGTTGGGACACTGTCTGCCTCCTTTATGATTACTGGAAGCTGATTTATGAGACATCCCAATCATGAGAATAGGTTGCGTTCTCAGTGACCTTGACAATTGACCACGAAAATCTAATCATTTCACCCGTCTGTGCTCAATTTGAAGAAATACCCATTTGGTGATCATGAGATATTGGGGTGAGTACAACACATGTATTGAATTTGAGTTATACGACTTTTTCGATAATGACAGAATATTCGGAGGACAGATACCATAACACTCCCACAGGCATGAACCCAAGCACCTCTATTTTGTGAGCTGTGGGTGGCCATGTTTACTCCTGTGTGAGAACAACTCTGCGTGAGTGTTTGTGCTTCTCTGTGTGAGATTGCATTCATCAGATATTTCATTTTGTGTTCGGCAAAGTGTTATTTCATTCTAAATCGACTGCTATTGTCTAGCTGCAGATGACTGAGACAATTTAGCAATTTGTGAGCAAGAGTAAAAAGCATTGTGGGATACTAACCCCGCCATGACGATGACAAAGTCAAGCTGGTTCCACTTGTCGCCAAGGTAACAATTGGGTCCAAATATTCCCAGGGCCACCATCTTGATGACCATTTCCACAGCGAAGAAAGCAAAAATACAGTCGTCCAACACCTGGGAGAAATAGTAGAGAAACAGATATTATTACAAGAGGAAATCAAATACTTGCCAACACAGAAAGGTCCGGTTCTCGTTACATTTCCTCATCAATAAGGAGTCACACTTTGAAACAAGCTGTGAAGGTGCCAGTGGAGGTTGTCTGAAAATAAAATCTCGTCCCCATTAGTTAGTCTCGTCCCAGCGGGGAATAGCTCTGGCTTAGCATGGTAATGGCTGCGTCTCGATTAAATAGAAATGCACCACAGCAAAAAAGAGCGTCTGCATTTGAATATAATGAGCATATCTCAGCGCGCCAAGAAACAACATTGCTCTAACAGCATGTTGAAACAAATGAGACAAGGACGAGAATGAACGTTTTCATTACCATTTGTTCACAAATTGCAGTTATTATTGCTCTTCCTGTCACTTCACAGCAGCTAAAAGCCGAATGTGGAAGTGATCCTTGGTGTAATAGAGACATTTAATTTGAAATACAACAGTCTGATGCATGGTTTACATTTTGGTACAATAAATGACGCTGTTACTGAGCTTTCTTCATCACTCACTAAAGCACTGAGTTGGCAGGCTTAATGCGATAAGATAGGATAATACTTTGTTAGATCAAGTCGGATTTTTCTCTTGTATTAAATCATCAAAAAGGACAACATTTAGACAAGAAACAAGGGACACTTAACACTCCCAGACACCTAACAAAACATTACAATCATTGCAGAGCACGTTTGAACGACCCTTAAATGTATATTTGATGTACATTGAAGGGTTACAACATTAAAATCAAAGCATGGCACATGACTTAACGTAAACGCATCTGGAAGAAGCTCAAATAGGTCACCAAGGTAAGCAACATTTTTTCACATTAAATAACTACTGTATTAATGGCCACATCAGCAAAGCCTCATATAGGCATAACTGAGGTAAATCGAGTAAGTTGTATGTCAGGTGTTTGCATGGAGAGAAAGCACACAGAGCTAAGAGTGAAGACCTTACACTCACCTGCAGGATGCCGCACCACTCAGATTGGCAGGCGACGTCTTCACAGGGCTGGAACATCCCCAGAGTCACACAGTTGAGCAGGATCACCAGCATGGAGAAGTGCTCGAACCACGTACAGGAAGCGGTTAAGGCCAAAACACATTGGATATATACATACTGTTCATTTCAGGGGAGATGCAATGGAAAGCAACAATTAAATAGTCCTATGCAGCAGTTGAATTTTCAAACAAAATCTTAGTCTGCTTATTGTGAAAAGCACAATTATGTTAATGGTGAACAATCTATGCCGGGGACAACTTTTTCTGTAACACCGCCTCCATTGCCGATCACAGATATGGATGCGTGAAGAGAACTGGATGCAGCGTTGGAAGCGGGAAACCATTCATTGCAATGAGAGTTGCTTAGTCTTGAAAACCAAAATACCAAGATCTTCTGTGGATTTACCAGCAATCTTCTGCAAACATCGGGCCCAACGTACGCACTAGGGATTTCCCTAAGCCCTGCGTCCAAACTGCTCAGTAAAATGACTGGAGAGGGACATTACATATACATTATCCAAGTAGGCTTTCAGGACCTACTGATTCAAATAAGGGCAATTCAAGGGTTTGTTCTGGGTAGTCCATTTACCGTAAAATTAAAGAAAATATTTTTGGGCCCAATGGCATCATGTGACTGACACGGAAGTTGTAGTGCCACCATTAAAGGTGGAGTTGGTAATTCACTTCAGAAACACTTTTTGCTCTTAACATCCCGATAGCAATGAATATCTTAAGTGCTTTTACAATAAATCCATTAAAACATTTCATCTGTGGAAGCCGTAGCGCTGTAAAAAGCACGACCAATCATTTTAACCGGCCCGGCTAAAATAACTGGATGGCCTACCTGCCTGTCAGCCTTCCACCTGTGCACAACCTTATCTCGTGCCCTCATTGGTCATGTGCGCGTTCGTGTGTGTTGGAGGAGGGGCTCTGTATTTTCAAATTCTAGCGCACTCCAGCTGGTTTCTCCAAAATTACCTACCCTACCGCTACTACGAGAATTTGCTTCAACCCAGTTTAGGGTTCGACCACAGACCAATCAAAGGGACCCATGATCAGGGTCAAACCACACACAGGAGCAACATGGTCCAAAACAAGCAATGATGCCGAGAGCCTTAATCCATTAGAGACAATGGTATAATGTAGATATCAAAGCATACTTGGAGGAAAAGCCTTAGCCTCATAGTAAAATCCCAGGCACAAGACCATGTGAGTAAACAAACACCCCGCCAACACACTGGAAACGGATGCCAATAGGAAGTTTGGTTTGCGAGCCTAATGCACATAATGGCTCTCGTAATGACTCAAAGGACTGGCTGTTAATCTGTTTACAGGCCTTTTCAACATTTCACAAATCAACCTTTTAATGGGCCCATGTCTATTGTACATCCTGTTGAATCATTCGCTAATATTGATCAAAGACAAGTCTCACAATTACAGACGGGAAGTAAACTCCTAGACATGTGTGGCAATTCATGCCAGGATCTGAAGAGAGAAGTAAGTACTCATGCAAGTCTCTCAATATTTGCTCTGTAAAAAAACACTAGAGTCCTATTTTATTATCACAGGGCTAAGCACAATATCAAAGGTATAAACATGTCAGCTGTTACTTCTGACTTGACTGAAATAGCACTTGTAAGTAATCTTTTGTTGACTTTCTATTGCTTGTGTTATCCTTACTTTATCCTTGTGGGACTCTCAGTGAGATTATCTATTTAGGACAAAGCAGTACGCTACAGAGGGCTAGGTCAGTGGGGTTTTCTTTCCTTTCTTTGGGTTTATTTCTGTTCACATTACAATGGCTTTTATAAGTAATAGAGTCTTAATAATGTTTCCGCATGAGTGATTCGGTGCAAAGACAGACGTGAGAGTTGTAATCCGTCTGGAACTCCTTTGACGTGCTTCGAGGGCATGGATGGAAACTGAAATGGTTTCCTAGTTTCTATTGACTAAATTAAAGACAATTCTTAGCCTCTATTCATCAAAGAATGATCTGGTAAAGATGCCTTGTACAGCCTGGTATGTACTTACTTTAGATAACATATAGTTACACAAAAACCAAATAAATAGATCCATAGTGAAAAAGTGGTAGCAGCATGGTGCGATGCCATAAATCAAACCAGTCTAAGATAACACAAGTTAGCCTTACACAGTTTATCTGCAGCTAGAAAGTTGGAGAATGATCTTTATCGTTAAATGAAAACACAGTTATCATAAGGGTACAAAGAGAGCATGAGTGAGAGACAGAGCCATTTGAAAAGGGACAATTACAAAGAACAAGAGCAGGAAAACGCTTTAAATCATGTCGTCTCAGCTAGAAAAGCTGCTGTTCCTATTTTTCCACCTAAGCGGGGGTTGGTCACACACACACACACACACACACACACACACACACACACACACACACACACACACACACACACACACACACACACACACACACACACACACACACACACACACACACACACACACACACACACACACACACACACACACACACACACACACACCACACACACACACACACACACACACACACACACACACACACACACACACACACACACACCCACACACACACACACACACACACACACACACACACACACACACACACACACACACACACACACACACACACACACACACACACACACACACTAGTGCGTGTAGAAGTATTCCCAGGGTGAAGTAATGTTCTAATTAAGAAGGGAGTTGAAGCAGAAAACAAATGGTGACCACTGTCTTCTACATTACTCACAATCAGACGTACAAACAAATGCAGGCATATACAGTATACATTGTAGGCAAATTAAGTGTATGTGGCGCAAACATAAGGACAATGGGGACTCACTGCTGGGATCAGGGGTCAGGACAGAAGCTTGTATCAGCAATAAAGTCTGGGTGTGAGAGGTAATCGCTCTCTCTAGGTCTCCTGCTATAGCCACGGTTATAACCTTTAATGGATCCTACACTAAAGGTCTTTCAGTCTCATGTGCTGAATACTTTGTTTAGATTTGACAAAGCAAGGATAGAGCGAAGCAAACAATCTTAAAGGGGCCCCAAAATGCTAAATGTCATGTTTTGAGATTTGTGTTTTGTGCTTCTACTGTAAAGTGTTTACATTCTTTTATGTTCAAAAAGCTCTTTATTTTTCTCATACTGCCTGTGCTGCAGCACCTCTTTTCATCCTCTGTCTGAAACAAGCCGGATCTTTTGTGATTGGTTAACTGCTTAGAGATGTCCCGCCCCTTAGCCTATCACGAACAATATGGTGGAGCGCTAGCCAATAGAAGCTTGAGTGTTACGTAGTGACGTCATTATGAAACTCCCTCTGGAGGATTTTAGCCTTCTCCGACAATTTACATGCACAAAAATCTAACACTACAGGAAAGGGAACTTTCTAAACATGTCAAGATCAAGAAACCCACCAACAAATACTGCATTTAAGACTTTGCTTGTGGGGACAGTTTACTCTTGTGATCAGAAATGGACATTAAAAACAAAGTCTATTATGTCCTGTACAATATCATGCAACTAAAGACTGAATATTGATTTAACATGTTGAATTAATTTTTTTTAAAGTCCCAGTTTAAGTTATTTTCAAATTACAAATGTACGTGGCACTATTGCACAGATTTGAAGTACACAACAATTCATCTTCCACAGTCGCTAAATGAATAAAACTCATTTCAAAAGCAATCAGATATAACTAAGACCAACTACATATGTCAAATAAACACAGGGAATGTAAAAGGCTTAATCAGGATTTGAATGAAGTGGGTATTTATTATACCTGTAAACCCGCTCCACACATCCAATCACTTCTTCATTTCATTCTCTCTATCCCTTTCCAAACATAACAAACTAATCTCTTCCCATCCTACACTTGTCCGCCGTAACCTTCGCTCCCTCTCCCCCTCTACCTTTGCCTCGTCGGTGCTCTCAGCCCTCCCTTCCTCTGATTCGTTCCAACTCCTGCCTCCAAACTCTGCTGCAGAAACTCTCCTCTCTACTCTCTCATCCACTCTGGACTCTCTCTGTCCTCTCACATCTCGGCAGGCTCGTCAGTCCCCTCCTGCTCCCTTGCTAAATGATGCACTGCGTGCTAATAGAACCGTCCTTAGGGCAGCAGAGCGGAAATGGTGGAAATCCAAACACCGTGACGACCTCCTAACCTATCAGGCTCTCCTCTCCTCTTTCTCTGCTTCGATCTCTCAGGCAAAAAGCACTTTCTTTCAAGATAAGATCCAATCTTCCTATTCCAATCCTAAAAAACTATTTTCCATCTTCTCCACCCTCTTGGACCCTCCAAAAGCTCCTCCCCCCTCCTCACTTCTGTCAAGCGACTTTGTTACCCACTTTGAAAAAAAGGTTGATGATATTCGCTCTTCTTTTTCTGACTCACCTTTACTCACCGCTGGGTCACCAGACCTTCCTTCCACCAACACACTAACCTCCTTTTCCCCTCTCTCTCCAAGTGAGGTTCTTACCCTCATTACCTCTGCCCGCCCTACCACCTGTCCTCTGGACCCTATCCCTTCAAACCTCCTTCAGACTATCGCTCCTGATATTCTACTGTTTCTCTCCCATTTCATCAACACTTCTCTAACTTCTGGTCACTTTCCAAACAGTCTCAAGGAGGCAAGAGTAAACCCTCTCCTAAAGAAACCCACTCTCAACCCGTCTGATGTTATAAACTACAGGCCTGTCTCTCTCCTCCCGTTACTGTCTAAATCACTTGAACGCGCTGTCTTTAAACAACTCTCCTGTTATCTCCATCAGAACAACCTTCTGGATCCGCACCAGTCTGGTTTCAAGGCAGGTCACTCCACAGAAACTGCTCTCATTGCTGTCACGGAGGAACTGCACACTGCCAAAACGGCATCCCTCTCCTCTGTCATCATCCTGTTGGACCTGTCTGCTGCATTCGACACGGTGAACCATCAGATCCTCCTTCACACTCTCCAAGCACTTGGAGTTTCAGGCTCTGCACTTTTCCTCCTCACCTCATACCTGAAAGACCGTACCTACAGGGTGACTTGGAGAGGGTCTGAGTCCGACCCTTGTC